CTATAGAGAGCCATTTGGAATGGCAAAAGAAGCAGGAGTGAGAGAAAAGGGTCCAAATAGACTATGTGATCCAGAAGATATAAAGGAGGGCACAACAAGAGGAATTAGAGAGAAAGAGAGAGAAGATTCAGTTAGTGGCAGAGAAGTGAGTAAAGAGAAAGTTGAGTGGTGAAAGTATATGTCTTCTTATTTCTGGTTGATCTTGACTTAGTTCTGTTTCTAGAGAGTTGCATGTATTGTCATCAAAATAGTGCACATTATTATGCATATCAGATAACTGAAGGCATTAGCTGTAAGTGAACTTGTGCTCATTGCAAGCTCAAGAAGACCATCTGTTTGTTTAATAAGAGTGTCACTATGAGTGAGGTGATTAGTAGCATGAAGGTCTCTGTCAGCCTCCACCAACTTTCAAAATTAATATACAAATTAGTGCATCATATAGATGAGTTGGCAAATGAGATGACAGATGTCTATATTACTTTAGCTGGTCTCCAGGATGATTATAAATTAGATGATATGTTATCTCTCTTAGAGTTGTTTTCAGAGTCTGAGTTGGAGGCATAAAAAAAGGCTTATCTGATCTTCAAGAATCAGAAGAATCAGAAGATGAAAGATCTGTGAGTGGCAATGTTGAAGAGATTGAATGAGGATATAAAGGAGTTAAGAAAGCAAGAAGAAAACTCAGGTTCTGATGCAGGTCTGTTGGATGCCAGGCTTTTGTAATTGTAAAAAATTTCTTGCAGTATGAAACATATATAGAAAGTATCAGATTGACAGTGAACAAAAATATAAATACAAGATTTGACTTTGAAAATTATAAAAGGAGTAATTGAAATAGTAATCAGTAGTTAGAATTAAAATAGTAAAGGTGGGTACCAGTGGTGTCTAGAGTAGTGTTGTATCAAGAAAAGAATGTTTGAGTGACTTTAGATAAGGATCCTAGTTTATCTGAATATCAATAGTGGAATTTTTCAATAAACTTATCAGCAAAGAACTTGGAGGCTGGTAACTAAGCAAATTCTTTGTTGGTATCTTTGTAGTCTAGCTACTGGATCTTGTATAGCAGTAGGCAGCAGAACTGATAGTCCAGCTTAGAGTCAAGATTTTGAGCTATTTTGAAATATTCTTTTCTATTGACTTTGACTGGAGATGGCAGTGGTTGGATTCAATTAGAAATGGTGTTTTCTTCTACAAGTTCTAATTATGACATATGGAAGACTGGGTGAATAGACCAAAAATCTAGTGGAAGCCTCAAGATGAAAGAGTAAGAAACAGGTTGAGCTATAATTTTGAAAGGATCAAGGTATTTCTCAGAGAATTTTCTGGTCAGATGGGTGATTTTGATATGTTTGGAACTGAGATAAACCTTATCACCCACTATAAACAGGAGCACTAGAATTTGATGCTTGTCTACTTGAATCTTATAGTGAGCCTGAGCTTCAGAGATTTTATTTTTTAATACTTAATGGAGTTTGTCAAGATTGACTATAAAGTCTCAGGTCTGAGTAAAGGTGATGTCTCTTTCAGAATGAATAGTGATATTAGGATGGTAACTCTTGTTAGCAAAGAATGGGAAAATTCCAGTAGATGTAATAAAAGTATTGTTATAGATAAACTCAGCAATAGATAAGAGGGTATCCCAGTTGTCCTATTGATAGAAGCAGTAGATGTGGATGTATTGTTCCAGAGTTTAGTTTGCCTGTTCAGTTTGTCTGTCGGCCTCCAGATGGTAATCAAAAGTAAGGTAAAGTTTCATGTCAAAGACAATAGCTAAAGCATAAGTGAACTGAAAAACAAATTCAGAGCTATGATCAGAGGTGATATAACTGGATATCTCATGTTTGGAGAAGATATGAATGAGAAAAAGTTGGATGAGCTCCATGAAGTTGATGATATCATGAGTGAGGATAAAGATGACTTGCTTGCTAGTCCAGTCAATGACTACTAGGATGGCAGTGAATCTATTGAAGTCTGGTAGTTATTTAATGAAATCTATGGAAATAGAATCTCATGACCATTTAGAAATCAGTAGAGGTTTGAGTAACCTATAGAGGCAGTGTCTAGGTGTCTTACTGTGTCCACAAACTGTGCAAGACTTAATATAGTGTTGAACATATTCATGCATCTTTGGCCAGATGTAATCTCATCAGACTAGCTCTAATGTCTAGTTTTGACTAAAGTGGCCTGCCAAGATATGATTGTAATTATTTTGTAGTATACAAAGATGGAGATCATCAGAGTCTGGGATATAGATATGATCTTCAAAGTAAAGGATGTTGGATTCATTAATAGATCACTGAGAGAGAGAGGATTCAGAAGTGGCCTTGGCCTGGCAGAGGCCATCAGAGCAGAGGCCATCAGAGCATGGGGATTGATTTGGGCATGTTGGCTATTCCTCTCTTTAGGGTAGACATCCTATCATCTAATGAGTATATCCAGTTTTCCACTAAGTTTTCTATAGTAGAACTGAATTACTAAATTGAACTGAAATAGGTATTTGGATCAGCAAATCTGTTAGTATGTTAGAATCTTAGTAGTTGCAAAGTATTCAAGATTCTTGTAGTCTGTTACAATATCAATAGAGTCTGTGGAGCCTTCAAGATAGTGGTGCCAATGTTTAAAAGCTTTAAAAATAGCCAAAAGCTCTTTGTTATAGGTGTTATAGTTGAGTTCAGTATTGTGGAGGCTCTGGGAGCAAAAAGTGATGGAGTGAATTTCACCATCTTTAAGGGTAGCTGCAATTGCATAATTAGAAGTGTTAGTCTCCACCACTATCTTTTGATCAGAGACCCAGTGAGTAAAATAGAAGTATATGTAATAGTCTGTTTTAACTCACTAAAGATAGCCAAGCATTTGTCATTAAATTTCCATGAAGTTTCTTTGTGGGTGAGTCATATAAGAGGAATAACAATATCACTATATTCATGTATAAAATGATGGTAGAAGTTGGCAAAGCTAAGAAAAGATTGGATATCCTTGATTTTTTGTGGCACTGGTATAAGGTTAGCAAACTCTCTGATATGAGAAGGATTGCATCTGCTCTTGCAAGTTCTTTTATAATCACAAAGGGGAAACTCAGCAGTTCAGAGTAAACTCAACAGAATCCACTTGGAGCAGTGGCTCATTGGTAGAACAAGCTCTGATGTCTGCTTTGAGAGCAGATAGGCAGGATATGAGTGAGATGTAAAAGAATAAGAGAGAGATCTGAAAATAGCTCTAAGCTGTCCACTTGTATAATACCAGGCTCAAAGGCTTTTACATATGCTTATGGCTTCAGCTTGTTGGAGACTAGCAGAATTTTATTCCTTAGCTTTATACCATAAAAGTTAGTTCTCATTCTATTTACAAGATTATTCTTTAAATACTGATATCTCAAAAGCCTGCTCCCTTATCAGTTGTGGCTCCTATATGTGCCTAAACCACCTTCTTCCAGACCAGCAAGGCACTATCAATCTGCTCAGTGAGTTCACTATCCATAAGTGAATTGGCTACACCTTCTATATCTAGTGTCTCATCAAATAGCTTTATAAGACTATCCATGCCTGATCCATCTCTAATCAGATAAAGTATCTCTTGTGTGCATATTTCAGCTAATATGCATCTGCTCATAAGTGCTATAGTTGCTTATCAGATACAGGAGACAGACAGCAGAAAGCTGTCTATTATTATCTTATAGGTTGTTGATTACACAGCAGATCTTTAGACAGGTCATATTGGTGCTCTGTTGCTTGAGCTATAGTGGAGGAAATAGTTTCTCATTTTGAAGGCAGGATGATACTCACTGCTCAGCTCTCTTAATGCTTTGGCAGATCTAGCATTGGAGAAACTGAGATTTAGTGCCCATGAGCCCATGATGCAACACAACCAGGAAAAAGAAACATTATGAGTATCCTCAGTCATATTTCTGACTCTAGCTATATGGCCAGTATATATAAAGAGGCTCTTCACAGTTCTATAGTACTATTATCATGGAGCATACTCTTCAGAGGCAAACAGAGAGCATAGAACAGACTATGCCAGTGTTAAAACCTCTCTTATATAGCTACATGAGATAACAGAAGCAGACAATAGCCAGCAAGTCAATGCCTTTATACAGACAGTCATTGTCTAATTATGAGCAGCCATAGTGTCAGCCCTAAATCTGAACCTCTCAGCCTGGTATTCCACTAAAATCACCAGGTATGGTACTTTTTCTGGATGTCATCTGGTTGGATCACATGACTCTCTTTATGTGCAGCAAGTATGCTAGAATTCAAGACATGCACAACTATAAGAAGATCTGCACCTTTGAGCAGGTCTACCAGGCAATCATAGCAAAGCTGAAGCTCAATGACATATATAGCACAGAGCTAATGCATGTGCTTAAAGTGTCATTGAGCAGGATTATCATCTCTGACTGAGAGGCATACACCAATGGTGGAATAACAGATGAGTGAGAGAGTGAGAAAGAAAAGAAGAATAAGAAGATAGCAGATACAGCCCTGCAAGCAGTGGAGAACTTCTATAGTCTGAACCTAGAGGAAATGAAGTACCTTCAAGTGTGAGAAGCATCAGAATAGTGATCTCAAGATGAGAAACAGTGAACTACCAGATCTATTAGTTTATATAGTAGAGTAGTAATAATCTGTTAAAACTTAAGCAATCCACTGACTAATGTGGCAGAGTAATAACAAGCTATTATTAAAAATAAACAATCTGCCAGCTTGTATAGCAGAGTAGAGAGAATTTGGCAAGAACAACCAACTCATCAGCTTATGCAGTAGAGCAGTGGTAATCCATTGGAAATAAGCAAATTTGCTGGCTTATACAGCAGAGTAGCAGTAATCCACCAGAAAAAAATGATTCACTATCAAGACATACAGGATCATTGCTATAAAGAGCAGATAGTATTAGCTAAAAAAAGTGGAGGCTAGAAATAGAGTCTATCACAGAGACAGTGACACTGTAGAAATTTACAGGCACAAGAATTTTCCCACTAAGTAGAGGCACCTCTGGTTGTTATGAAAAGAAGAAGTGTACAAAAAAAAAGAAGAGCAAAAGGTGTTATTCCCATTGATGGAGGAACAGAGCTAGAGTCTGGCTATGTGATCAACATAGAAGAGAAGCTCAAAAGTGAGTGAATGAATAGAAAAGAAGCAGAGAAGAGTCCAGACTAGACAGCAGAACATTCCAGCTGGATTGTGGGCAGAAGGTGGCAGGTTTCCAATGCATAGCCACAGCTAGCATGGCCAGGTATAAAGACAATGAGACTGGAGCTGATGTTTTTCCTTAACAGCACCTCTCATACCACCACCATCATTCACCAACTTTGAATTTGAATCTTGGCAAGGTGTTCTATCTCATTGGACTGCTGAGCATGCCCACTCACTTTACAACTTAAATGTCATAGATTCAATCTAGCAGAAGCACTCAGAGCTTAAGCTGGCCCACATACAGTGGATCCACAAGTCAATCTGATTTTGTGTGAGTCTTGTCTGTTTTTATCATGACTGTTACCAACATCTAAACAGGACAAGGTGGTCTGCCTTGCAAGGGTTACAGAGCTACTGGCTAATATACTCTGTTGTCAGTGAGCTTTTATTTTCTGCTGCATCTGCCTATTTCTGAGGCAGTTCTGTCAGTCTAGCATTAGAGAGCAGGCAGTGTGAAGTCTCTTGTTTTGCAAGAGCTTATCAACTATTATAAATGAGTGTGAGTCTCCTGCCTTTCACTGATTCTAGCCTACACTCACCTCTTGATTGTCTAGTCTCTATGATCAATGCATCCACTGTCTCATCCAATGATAGGAGTGCACCTAGCAAGGTGGATAAGTCAGAAGAGAAGTGGGCAGGCATTGGTTCAAATAATAACAGAGGAGTGGATATAGATGACACACTGATGGTGGAGACCAAGATGGGTATGGACTAGAAGAAGGAGTGGATTAGCAGTGAGGCAGATATGGATGAAAAAGAGGAGTGGGCTGGTATCAGGCTATATAGTGTTAGTGAGGCTGATAAGCTTAGCTTGGAAAGAGCAGAACTTGGTCATGAGAATGTGGCTGATAAAGAGAATAAGCTGCTGGAGGTCTATCTGTAAGCAGGAGTGGCCAAAAGGGTCCAGGCCAAGGGTAAGTCCTCTTCTCCATTCTGAGGCATGGCACTGACCTCACTCTTGTCAGGTTATATCAGAACTGGTTGGCCACTGGCCTTAAACCAGAAGTTGAGGAAGAAAAAAGATCAGCCTACCATATTGACTAATATAATGGAGATAGCAGGAGAGCAGCTTCTTTAGATGAGTTGTCTGCTCTGATACATAGTCTAGCTCACAGATATATTCTTCCAGCTGACAGATGAAAAATATAACAACTGCAGCAGAATGAGCAGACATCAATGTCTTGTCCCTACTGACTCTGATAATAATAAGCCTGTGTGTGCAGAATGTCTCATCAGCAGCTATAGCTGTGGCAACTGAGCAGCCTCTTCCAAGATGGTCACAGTGAAACCCATTCATTCTACAAAAGATAAGGAAAACACAGCAGTGCTGGCCTCTACTCAGCACTTCAAGCCATCTGTTGTTGTCTCTTGACAGCACACAGACAATGATGTGTGTTTGGAAGAGAAAGAGATAGATCTTTTGGTAGATAGACAATACCTCTATATTTTTTGATAAACTCTGGTAGTATAGTCATGTAGAGTGATATAGATTTGAGATATTTTCTTGAAGTATTTTCTTGTTCTGTTGCTTTGGCTAGCTTGCTCTTTCTTCAGCAGAAATTGCATGTAAGAGCCAAAGCAGAATAGTTGTCTCAATAAGACATTAGAAGCATACACCAGTCTGTTAAATATAATGCAGCTGATAGGAGTATAAGCAAATCCAAGATTAAGAACAAGAGAGCAATGCCATATATAATATAGTGAAAATAAGAGAAATAAAATAGGAAACATAAGGCCCAGAGCCTGATGTCATGCTTATCTATCCTCTATGGTATCATCATATAAGTCTGCTATCTGCTTTAGAGCTTCTAGCTGATCCAGTAGCTGGTCAACAAAGTCAGCCAAGCTAGAGACAGGAATTGAGTCTCAAGAGTAGTAGAGAATACATTGAAATGCAGCAACTGGATCTGCTAGTAGCATACTATCCAGATCATAGAGAATGAAGGCATCTCCTTTATTTTGGGAGACATACACCAGCAGGCCAAGATACCTTAGTTTAAACTTCTTTCTAAGTTCATATTCCACTCTTATGTTTCTAATCAGCATCAGATTCTCTGGCTTAAAATATCAGTCAATGATCTGATTAGTATGCTTCTGTTCTCATTATTAGATCATTTTGACTCTAGATTCATAGACTTTTGAGCAGATTTGTTTCAGATCAGTAGATCACTTTTGCAAAGCAACTGACTGCTTTGCTATTAGCTCAGCTGTTGAGATTATTATTGTTGGTGGTTCTACTAAGTAGGATGCCTCTGCTATATCCAAAGGCAGGATGAGCTCCACACCTGTTGCTACCTTAAAAGAGCTCTTCTCTATCATTTGCAAGAGAGTAACTCACTTCACTCAGATCATAGTGTATGCCACTTGACCCTATTTATTCTGGATACTCCTACAGACCTTAAATAGTGATTCTCAAAAACTAAAGTAGTAGCACTTAATAACTCCTTGTGCTTGTGAGTTGTAAGCTAAAATGCATATGTAGTGAATGTCATATTGATTGGATAGCATCTTGAGAGCTACTATAAAGGCTGGCCTATTATCTGTTACAATCTTACAGAGATATTTCTATCTGCAGATAATATCCTCATAGATAAAATGAGCCATCTCATCTGTATTTTCATGCTTAAGCATTTTGAATTTTAGGTATGCACTTATCAAGCACCTTGCATAAACAATGTACTTGAACCTATTAGACTTTAGGAGATGGAATATATCTATATAAACCTTAGCAAAGAGAGGAGCAGAGTAGGCTATAACTGATAAAATATACTACTTATCTATTTGACAGATCTAGCACATATAATATGTTTTCACAAACTATTTGATATCATCAAGCAGTTGGAGCCACCAGTACCTTTTGAGGAGGTGAGCTCATATAGAATAGACACTCTTGTGGCCCATCTCATCATATACAATCTGCAAAAGCTTATATCTCCTATTCAACAGTACCATCAGCTTATGTTCTCTTCTGCTGTCATGTTTTTCAGAGGTGGCTGTCAAGAAAGAAAAAATTTGAAGCATAATTAATGAATGTCCTCTTTTGATCTTCATCCAAAAAGATGGATATAGTGAAATCCATCAGGTAGTTCATAACTAGTCACAGTTGGATGTTGTTAGCTTTGGTCTTTGTATTTTGAGGGATCTTCAAATCTGTGTCAGGATCCAGTGGATCTGTTGCCAGCAGATGGAGCTGGCTCTGAGTAAGCACTCACATGAGAGATAATATCCTTCTGCCAGATGCTTGCTCTTTGATAAGCAGATTGATTATATGTATGAAGCTATACATTTTGTTAACTCAATCCAAATTGTCTTCCTGCACAAGTTCATCCTCAGATTGTAGATGCCTTTTAAACAGTCTATCCACTCCATGCTTGACTCCAGGAACATATACCATCTTAAAGTCAAATAGAAGAATATCTACAATTCAGTGATTAATCACTATGCTTGGATTTATATCTAGATTGTTGATTATTCTCTTGATGGCAGTGGCATCAACCTCTATAACAAGATTCTTTACTCCAATGATCCATATAGCAGTTTTCTTCAGTGCTCTGTATAGACTATACAGTTCAAGCTTTGGCTGGCTATATTTCATCTTAACTGCATTTAGAGATATTAAACTGAAACAGGAAGGGTACCTCCTCTTTAGATTGGCTGGATCCTCTTAGAATATAGCATACCTGACAGTTTGTGAGCTAATGTCAACAGCTAGTATGACAGATGCTTTTGATTTATAGTCTGTTAGATAGAGAGCAGGAGAGTTGATGATTTCCTGCTTAAGTGCCTCTTGAGCTGCCTCCTGATCTAGCCCTCAAAATCTTTTCATGTGAGATTCACAAGAGGCTTAGTGATCAGGCTGTAATTGTGGACATATATCTGCAGGATTCCAGCAGTCTCTAAGAATGAGCAGATGTCTGTCAGGTCCTGACATAAGCTTCAGTTCTTGATCTTATCTACTTTTCCATCCTCCAGTACTCAGCTCTCATAGGTGCACTTGTGTCTGACTATTACAGCTTTTAGCAGGCAGAGATAAGCCTTCTTTTCTGACCAGATGCAGCCAGCATATTTCATCTGCTGTATAATCTGATTGAGGTTTTAGAAATGCTCTCATATGAAATGGTGGATCCTGGTATTATTGGATATCATCTCATAGCCACTGTCTATAGTTTTATAGCAGCTGATGAGCCCCTTCACTTCTGCATCATTGACAAATGGAATTGTAATATCAGGTATTTTGTCCTGCAGCATGTAAGTTATATTCTCTTGAAGAATCTGCATCAAGTTTGTCCACTCCATTGAGAGCATAGTTAGCCAAAAAATGCTCAGTGGGATTTGGAAGGTCATCAGGTCTCTGCTATTCACTGAAAGCAAATATTGATCAAAGATAATGAAAAGATCAAAAACTCTATAATATGCATATCTGCCAAAGGTTTCAGCCAGCCATTTGATGAGCAGAGGTATTTCTGAGTTGTGGATGATAACTGCATTGAGTGGCTGTAAGTCATGAATGATCCATAATGACCATCTGTCTTTCTTGAATACTATGAACCACTTAGATCAGTATGAAGAACTAGAAGGCTCATATATTCCTGAAGCAATTTTGTCTTTGATTATGTCTATGACTTTATAATACAAATCTGAGAAAATGGGAATATTTTTGTAAACCCAAGAGATATGTTCTATGATGGGGATAATCACTGAAAAAAAAATCTTCTCTGAATTTCCTCTTCTGCAACTCATCTTATGTGAATCTGACCTCTTGCAGCATCATGAAATAGTGTATGAGCTTCTGCTCTTCTGGCTATAAGAAATCCCCTAGATGGTTTTCATCTATAATGTTGTAATTCTCTTGGGTATAATGCTCTGTCAGAGTGAAGTTCAGCAGATGGACTGAAAGAACTGGTATATCTGCATAGTGAAGAGAGTTATCTCTATATCCAATTTATAAGGCATACTGATTGAATTAGACTATATACTTTATGATCTGGTCTCCATCACACATCTGAAGGTGTTCTAATGCATTTTTAGCATCTCTAATAGTATTGAAGAGGCTGAAGTTGCTATGAAGCTCATCTAAGAAAGCTGTATAGGAGAATTGCCAGACTGGCAGATTCTGTGGATTGGGGTTAAGGATGTCTGGTTCAAACTAGTTAAGTGCAGTGCCAGCCAAGAAGGAGATGGCATAGTTGACTTTGTTAGTGTCTATTGTGAATATAGTAGGTCTCTTATTGAAGTTCAACTGAAGAGAGACAATAAAGATCTTCAGTTTGCAAGAGTTGAAGTCATCAAAGAGTTCTGGTTTCTTGACTTTGATGCAGATAGTGGCTGGCTTAGAGTTATTGAGGGAAGTGGAGACTCCTTATAACAGATTCATAAATTTTAGGAACATGTTCTGCTAGTTTATATTGCTGCTTTCTGCAGGGCTATCAGAGCTGTCCAGGCCATTAGAACCATCTGGATCTTCTGAACTATCTGGCCCTCCTGAAAAGGGGTTTAGTGGATTACCATCTGATTCTGGTCAGACAGGAGTATGAGTAGGGGTGTTTTCACCTCTGCTCTCTGAGTCTGAGCTGTCTGAATTTCTATGTATGTTGCCCAGAGATAAGAGATCTATCAGAGAGTCACTTTGGGTGCCATACATCATACTAGTCTATTGAGCTCTATTGATTGGAATGCTGATGGCATCAAAAGGGTTAGGAGAATCATCATAATTTGATTGATAGACAGTGAAGCTAGAGTGGATGTAGGTTTCTCTATAGAAGGGTTATCCTCAACTGGAGGCCAATCTAAAGTATTCTGGTTGTTCTTTTGAGACAGAGGCTGGAATGTCTTTCATAGAGAACATGTTGGAATGGCCGAGTTGAGTTTGTTTGAAGTTAGCTTCTGTAGATTGAATGAATGTGGTGGACATAATAAAAAATTTCTTTTTGACTCAAGAGTTTGAGTTTGAATATATTGTTAGGAATATGCCAATCAATTGGGTTTGAGTGTATGCATGGAGACCTATAGAGTGCATGGGTGTTAACAAAGCTATTAGCAACATTACCCTTGAGTCAAAGCTCAAGAATATAGATTGATAGAACTCTGTTCTATCAAGAAAGTGAAGAGAAATATTCTTCAGAGCAGAATCTAATAGATGAGATAGAGAGGAGCTGAAGTGAGCATGAAGTATAGATGACTATTCAAGTTGATATTTGAACTAAATATTTACAATATTTGTTTGTGGTTTATATATTATTGGTAGTTAATTCTGAGTCAGAGTCTGTTGGAGTCTGATATCAACTGTTTACTACTGTTTTAGAATTTAGATACTACAATAGGAAATATAAATATAAAATAGTAATAGTAAAATGAAATTGGTAGATAATGGAGGACAGACAGAGGCCAATAGAACTTAGTGATTGAATTCTTGGTTGGTTGAGATGATGCAGAGGCTAGCAGCATATGCATAACACTTGTATATATATCACAATGAGTCTAATAGGTCACTTTAAAGTGCCATATATATACTAATAATAACATATATCTGATTGGATATTATGATGCTAGACCATGCCTATAGCATTTATTATTAATCAGAAAGTTTATGTGCTATGAATATCAATAAAAAAAAGTCTGCAAGGATAAGAAAAGTTTGCAGATAAAAGGAAAGTTTGTATATGATATATAATCTTTGCATATAAGAGAATGTCTGTAAATAATGAATAGTTCTCAATAAAATTACTACTATTGAATCTGAAATAGTTGGTTTACTGAAAGCTCATCTAAGAGCAAAAGCTGAAAATAATTATTGAGGCCTGTAATTTCAGAGTGCATAGAGCCTAGAGGCTTATCAGTATGCTTAACTGAACTATCATCAGAAGGATAGGCCAAGATCCTATGTGATGAAGTGTATGCCAAGTAAAGCATGCTACAGATCATTATTTCAGATAGAGGACTACAGTTTGTCTCAAAATTTATATTAGACTTGTATCATCTACTACAGATTCAGAATAACACCTCAACAGCCTATCACCTGTAAACAGATAAGCAGATAGAGCATGTCAATCAAGAGGTCAAAAAATATCTCTATATATTTATTAATCACCAATAAAACAATTAGATTGAATAGCTTGCATTGGCAGCCTTTCAATATAACAACTGCAGACACTGAGTGATAGGAAAAACTCTGTTCTCTATCAATTATAGACACCATCCTATTGTTGCCAACTTCTCATAATACTCCACTTTAATTTCAGCATTCACAAATTTTGCAAACCAAATATCCAAAATTTATAATGAGACCAAAGCCACTCTTGAGAAAGCAGTCACAGCTATGAAAAAGCAATATGATACACACTGATAACCTATGGTTCAATATACTATAGAGGACTGCATCTAGCTGGATGTGGTCAACCTTCATCTGCTGCATCTGAAAAAGAAACTCACAGACAAATAGATGAGACCTTTTACTATTATAGCAAAAGTCAGAGCCTCCTTATATCATCTCACTCTTTTTATAATCTGAAAGATTCATCTGATCTTTAACAAAATATTGCTCTCTTCTTACAAGCTATCTGCCTTTTCAAACTAAAAATAACTTTTTCTATCTGCACCTGAACTTATTGACAGAAAAGAATCTTATGAAGTCAATACAGTCCTTGACTTCTATCTCTGTAGAGTTTAGAGACATTATAGTATTGAGCTTTTTACAATAACAGATTATCTTGTCAAATAGAAGAGATACAGCTCTAAATCAAACAAGTGAGTCAACAAGAAATACATGACTTCCAATGATGCTATTGCTGTCTACTATGACTGTTATAGTGAACCTTTTCTTTAATATTACTATTAGAATAATAGTCTTAATAGAGAGATAATATTATAATTTTCTTTTTATTTCTTATCTTTTATCTCTTATCTTATCTTGTCTTATTTTATTAAAGCACTTACTTAATCTAAAATGCTTACTGACTATGAGCCAGTTACTATGACTATACTAAATGATGTATACTATTGTATTATAATATATGTTAAATATCTTATTAACAGATAAAATATATTATTTCATACATGACAACTATGCTCTATAGTACCATACTACAGGAGGACATAATAAGTAGAGATAAGTAGAGCTATATTTATTATTCTTAAAATATATATAAGTAGTATAGCTCTTGCTATAGTAGACCAGCTCTGAGCTAAAGTTTACTCATACTACTCCTTTTCTTGAGCCTATTTGCAAGTGTCTTGATCTCACTGATTGAACATACTTTAATAGACTCTAGTGTGACTATACAAATCTAATACAGCATTAGTTTATTATATGTTTGGCTCATATAATGAGCAGGTTTATCAGCTAGTTATGATTTTTTCTTTTCTAATCCCTATTTATGCTTAGTCAGAATACTAGAGCAAGCGCTTAAGACTGTGAGATAAGGCTTAGTCATCACAACTAGCCAAGTTCATCATTGTCTTTTGATACAACCAGCATTATTCAACAATGCATAAAGAATCTTTTATATATGATAATAACACTCAAGGACAATGGACACAATGAACTCAGGAAGACACAATAGGTAGTTATATTATTAGCATACAATATATAGTATTTAAGATGCTTGCTCTCATTAGAAAACCCCAGCT